CATTATAACCTCGTAATTAGTTATGTCCAGTGGTCATTGGAAACGGCTTGATGGCTCATAAAAATCCGGTTGAAGTTGAGACGGAATGCGACTCCTACAAGCAAATCAGTTTATACAAGAAATGATGAGGTAGAAGTGTTCACTTGAAAAAAGAAGAAGAAAAAAAAGAAAAAAATGAAGATGACGCGTAGTTTGAAATCTCCTGACATTTAATATTTGCAACATGTACAAAGCTGTACCTTATGACCAACTTACCGAATCTATATATCAATTTCTATATGTTTCGATTGCTTGTTCTGTTCCAAGAACGAGGACCTCTGGTTGAAATTGGAACCTGAGCCACCATGGGAACTGAGTCTCTTCGTCTTTTCCGATCTCTTCCAAACGGATCAGCAAATGCTAGATCCGGATTGGGTCCAAAGAATCCTTTGTATTTTTGTGCGCAAGTTTGGGATGCGCTCTTTAAAGAAAATGTATCTTAGTGGAGTTGAAGGGAAATACGCATTGCTTCTAGCCATGGTATACTTTTTGATAAGAGAAATTTCTTGTGTCAGTTTTAGGCGCCCTTAGCAATTTGAACCATTTACTAAATCACCGTTTCTTTTTCTTTAAGCGATAGCCAAAGTGTACACAAACAGAGCAGCTGCTCATTTCTGTTTGGGTAAGATCTTATTTCATATTTCGTACTGTGTTTATTAGTTTTTTTATTCAGTCTGAAATTTCAAAGCTCTTGGGAGTGGAAAGAAGAGAGACTCTGGAAACGAGTTTGCCTAGTCTAGATCCTGAAATCCCGCCTAATGCACGATCACTTTTGTTTAGGTTTTAGATCACGAAAGTGTTTTGAAAGCAATATTTGGTGTTGGGCTACCATTTTCTCTCACGTAACTATCCATCATAACTGAAAAGTATATTTTTATCTATTCTTTATCATTTTGGCCAGATTTGAGCACAAGTCAGGTGTAATATAATTTACGGGTCGTGCACTTTATCACTTGAAATCTTTCGACATAAATGAAAATACTAGTATGTCTTTATTTTATGTAAGGTCCAGATAAATCTTTCGAGCAGCCTTTTCCTCTTGTCGTGTCATTCGAGTTTCGAACGTAGTTCATGGTTAAAAGTGTATAGAGAAAAGTTACGTTTTGTTCTGGTCATGGCCAGGATAACTGTCATGTTAAATTTAGCCAATTAATTCCATGTTAAAGACGGGCGGGTAGTTATAAATTTTGCTACTTGATTTTACTTTATCGTTGCCTCTATCACCTCGACAGCATGAGATGACATAATAATTTTTGTTCCTATTTGGTAGGAAATTACGAGGAAACACTGAGCGATGCAACAGCCGCTATTACCTTGAAACCAACTTTCATTCAAGCCATAGAAAGAGGTAAGTTCTTGACGAACATTTTTGTTGCCTGAATTAGCAGAAAACCACAGACTATTAGTTGACAGGGCTTTATTACTGTTAGTAAGTCTGTCTTTCCTCAATTTTTCTTCTTACAGTAGTATCCTTGATCCTTATGTTCGACAGTCTTCTCGTTTACAATATGGTTTCTTGTCGTCACTATGCTCGTTTTCTGTCAGAAGTAATAATATTGCTTTAAGACAAACATTACTGTTCCTTTTTCTAGGAGCCCGTGCTTGTATAAAGCTAAAGCGTCACGAAGAAGCCAAGACCTGGTGTGATAAGGGATTGGCAGTATCCTTTGAAACATGGTGTCACATTCATTTCCCGTCTTAAAAGATACAGTTCCTGTTACCTTTTAATATTTTCTAGAATATAGTTGTATTGTAGTAAGAATGGCACAAAACTGTGTCTTTTCATGAGAACATTTCCCATACCACAGAATCTTCCCACCCCAGTACATCGACAAAGGCTGCAGACCT